CTTTCTCTCATGGAAGTTTAAATCCTCCCCCATGAATTTCTGCATTCCCGATATTGTATTCTGAATATCATTATCTGACTGCCGGGCTGGAAGATCTTTCTTAAGGACTAGATCAAATTCACGGCGAGTTTCTGACTTCTGAAGGCTCTGTTGGAAGTCATTGATAACTCTACAGAGATTTTTCTTATCTCTCCTTTCCTGGTCTTCTAATACGCACATGATTTTGTCATTTTGTCTCATTTCAGCAGCTGGAAGAGACATAACACCATAAACTTAAGATTCAGAGGAAAAAATAAATTTGAATTCACTTAAAATAATAACTTTCAGTGATTTTAAAAGTAAAACAATCCTCCAAAAAATAAAGAAAAACAAAAACACACACATTAAAGGATTAATGTCCTGAATATACAAAGAGTACTTACAAATGAATTTTAAAAACCCAAACACCTCACCCGAAAAATGGGCAAAGGTTAAGAACACGAAAAACACAATAAGGAAACATGAGTGATCAATAAACTTGTGAAAAGATGATCAGCCTTACAAGATGGGAAACATTCAGTGCATTGGAAACAAAATATTTAAAATGCCATAATAGCACTTATTAGTAAGGATGTGGGGGAACAACAGCCCTCATTCACTGCTTGTGGGAGCATAACCTGGTATATTTATAACAAAGCAATTTGTCCATATCCCATAAAATGGAAAACATGCCTACCTAAGATCCTTCCATTTCACTCCTAGGTATCTCTCTCACAAGTGCACTAGGGACATAAGGCATGGACAGTCATTGCAGCAGTGTTTGCAATGATAAAGAAAATGGGGAAAAAATCTAAACCAGCCATCAGCAGGGGAATGGATAAAGAAAGTGTGTTTAATTCATTTAACAAAATGCCGTAAAACAATTAAAATTAATACTTTCTATATGTAGATCGTGGATCAATTTCGAAAATACAATGCTGAATGAAAGAAAAACACATTACAAAAGGATCCAATCAATAGGATACTGCTTAAATTTTAAAAACACACATGCAAAAAATTGTATACTGTTATGGATACATACACAAATAGTACAAGTATAGAACAACGCATGCGAATAATGCACACTTCTGAGGAGGAAAGAAGAGGAAAATTATGAGGTGAGGGGGAGCGTTACCTATATATACATAAAACATAATTCTAAAAACTTAATCGATAGGCCACTGCATGTACAATTTCATATCCTGCTTTTTTTAATTTTAAAAAATTTTAATTTTAAAAATCCTTATGGTGTTTTAAAAAACTGTTATTTCAACAATTGTTGAAATTCTTGGTCAAGATAGGGGAAAATGAATTGCATTTGAAGTTTTGCTCTAAGACCTAGAACACTATTATTTGAATCATGTCTATCTCTGAGTCAGCTCAGGGGCATGAGCTCAGGCATGTGCGTGTCATCTGGTGTAAACAATTGTCCTCCATAGAAGGTCTTGAACTTTTGGGAAGTGTATGTGCTCATGTGTGTGTGTGTGTTTTAAGAAAATAGAAAAAAAAACATACATTTATCCTTAAAATATATTTCCTACAATCTACTTTAGAATTCAAAAGCTGTTTTTCTCTTAAAAGAAGATGATTCAGTGCATAGTTAATTGAGCACGAGAA